TTCAAAACATTTAAAAATGGATGTAATTTTTGTTTCCACAAGGAAGGAATAAAAAGAGCAAAACGACAAGTGAGGGAAAGGAAATACGTCTGTATGTAAAGTGTGGTATTATAATAACAGCATGGCCTGACTTCTAGATGCATGTGGGAGACCCACAGGTGCTTATCTGCAGTCCCTCCTGAAACCCTATGTAAAAGAAGAATAATAACAATTTAAAAAAAAGAATTGGAGAGAAGGTAACAACAGGTGTAAGAAAGCAACAAAGCTTTGGAAGACAGAAGAGGACAGGAGAGTGGTTACCTACCTAGCTGAAGCCCTGCTGCTTGGGGAGGAGGGAAGCCATCAAGAAGGTGAGATGGACGCGCAGAGCCCAGGAAGGCTTGGGAATGGGAGGCCTGGGCACCTCTGACGGCCAATACAGCTGGGCTGAAAGACCATTCAAGGAGAAGTTAGAGCCCTCGGCCCCTTGCACAGCCAGCAGAGCTAGGTCACTGCCCCTCACCCCCCCCCAACAGACTAGGAGATGCATTTTCCGGAAGACACTGGAACAGAGAAGTTCCGTACTCAAGACCCCAGGCATAGCTGAGAGTGAGGGAGGGGTAGCAGGGTGCCAAACTGAACACAAAAGAATTCAGTGAAAAAATAAAATTAAAAAAAAAAGTAAAGCACACTTAAGGGTGAGATGTCCATCTTAACCCTGTTTCCCCTTGCTCAGCTCACAAACCTGTCACTGGGCTTAAATCTCCTCAGCAGAGGCTGAAGGATTCTTTTTTGGGGAAACTGACTATCCTGGAAAAAAAAAGACATAGTGATGGATGAAGGTCCCCACACAAAACGTGTGCTTTTAAAGCGCACAGAACTTTCAATCAGCATTTTAGAGTCTTATTTTAAATATAAACAGAGCCGAAATTCAGACACTTGAAGAAAGTCAGAGACTATAACACATGGGGGGTAGGGAAGAAGATCAGAGCTACTAATGATAACAAAGTGAGCAAAATGCTTAAAAAATAAAAATACCCTAGCGGGTTCATAGAAATCTTGCACCATTATTTTAAAAAAATGAACAGAACACTAAAAAAAGGAACTTTCATAGAACAAGAAACATCCCTTGGAAATTAAATATCTGGTAGCAGAAATAAATAACTTGAATAGCAGGGCTGGAAGATGAAATTAAACAAATTTGCCCAGAAAGTAGAACAAAATTACAAAGAGATAAAAATTAGAGAATGTTTTCAGGAGGCTGGGGCATACAGCTAACAGCTGTTACAGAAAAAGCATGATAGAGAGGAAGAAATCACTGAAGAAATAATACAAGAAAGTATACTAGAACTTTACAATATGAAAAGGCCTACAGAGTTCCCAGCACAAATACTCCTAAGAACTTAGCTAAAGCACATCACTAGGAAATGCAGGAATACTAGGGATAAAAGATGATGATAAAAGCTTTCAAAAAGAAAAAAACAGGCTACATTTAAAGGATTGACAGTGTCATCAAGTTCTCAAGCAGCAAAGGGAATAGAGACAGTGAAGAAATGTCTTATAAAATATGGAGGAAATATGACTTCATCTTGGAATATTTATACCTAAACAAGCTAGCAATCATGGGTGAAATATATATACATATCTGTGTGCAGACACACATTCTAACCTTCTTTCCTAACAGAACTCAGTTGTGGTTGAAAGAGCTAAAAATACTTACTTTTCTATCTTCCCATGTAGCTAGCAGTGGCCCTGTTTCACAATTTGGCCAAGAGATAATCCACTAAAAAGGTTTCTGGAAATATACATATTTTTCTGATATAATAAATGTGGCTGGCTCTGCTTTTACCTCTTTTGCCCTATTACTGGCTGGAATGCAGACATAATGCCAAAAGGTACAGCAGCCATCATGAGACCATGAGGCAGTAAGCATACGGCAAAAGTCAACATGCAGGTATGGCAGATTCCAACAGAACTAAGAGCTTGGGTCCCTAATGGTATCGCTGACCTGCTATACCAGGTATTTCACAACTGCATCTTATATAAAGGTAAAGAAAAAAAATTTTTTTAATTGCTGTAGTCAGGTTTTCTGTTATTTGCAGGTAAAAGAAAGCATTCTAACAAGTTATCAGAAAAATTTACCACCCAGACACCCTTCCTCAGGAAATTACTAGAAAATGTGCTCCACAAAAAGCAAGGAATAAACTAAGAGAGAGAGAATTGTGGTACTCAAAAAAACAAGTGATCCAACACAGGAAGGATGCAAGAGGAATTTCTAGCATGTTGGTAATAAGGGTTGTACTGAGGCAAACTGTAAGCCTAAAAAGTAACCAGTTTACATTGGAACAGGAGGATAAAGGGCTCCAGGGGAGAGAACACCAAGAGAAAAATAAATAATGGATAGGTTACCTGATGTGTTTGATAATATTGAAAGGAATTTAATAGCTCTCTCAGAAAGTTTGCAAGTAGTGATTAGTACACAGGAAACAAAGCAAAACAGGAAGAAAATAAAAAGCAATTATTAACTCTAGGAAAACCAAAAGGTTGCACGAGGGATGAAATGGAATCACAGAACACTGGGTGGCTCAAATGTGAACAGCATTTGCAGTCTTCATAACGCAAACATTAAATATCGCTTTAAAAAATTAGGGCAGTACTTTATTGGAAAGTTGGAAGCCGGTGTGGCTGGGGTCCAGCAAGCAAGGCGAGAATGGCAAGAAAGGAGATCAGAGAGAAAAACAGGGATTAGGGGATCCAGCGGTTTGGATTTTTCTTTTCTGAGAGCCACAGAAAGCCACTGGAGAATTTTAAACAGGAAACCTGCACAATCTAACTCATGATTGAAAATGAGGACTTTGGCTGCGGTGTTGGGAAGAACACACCACGTGGGGACAGGAGGGAAGGTCAGCAGACCAGTTAGGAGGCCACCATCCTAGAGGTAAGAGGCTTCTGCAGAAGAAAAGAAGAAGAAGGAAAAAAAAGGTAGCCTGTGTCAGGGAAGGCACACTTTAAAATGGAGGGGAGTGGGTAGATGGGAATACATTTTGGAGAGAAAGGGATGACTCGGGGATGCTACCCAGGTGTAAGCGTGACGCATCTGGAGGAGGCAGAGGATGTTATTGCTGAACTGGGAATACTGGGGAAGGAATGGATTCGGGAGTAGAGGGTTTAGGGTCTAGGGTTATGTTTTGGACCTGTTAGGGGTAACACATCACTGACGGGTACCAAGTGGGCACCTGTTCTGGAGCTCAGGGTAACACACAGGGAGACAAACCCCAGGATGTAGTCTGCCTTCAACAAGTAGTAATTCCTCCTTTTCTCTTGCCAAGACGAAGAAATGTTTCAATGTATGTTTGGATTTTTTAAAACAGCCTCAATGCTATGATTTGGGGCACTGATAGATTTCAGACTTGGTACTGAGGACCCAGGATAAACAAGCAGTGAATCCTGGGGTATCCCAACATGTAACCCATTCAAAATGTTTAGGCCTCACTGGCTCTCTTCTGAGTCATCTATCCTAAGGAAAAACTGTCTCCACCAAAGCTGCAGTCATAAAACAATGAAAGCCCCCGCCCTCCGTGAAATACTTTCCCATTATTAGCTTGAATTAGTAAACATTTGCCTGTAAAAAAACAGTATCATCCACACTCCGTGGACTTCTGTTTATGTGTACAGAGTATGTGCCAAGTTCAAGGCCACCTCAGGCACACTTTGAGATTGTTTCAGATTTTAAAAAGTTCTTTCTCAAGAAACATTCTAAAGGACCAATTTGTACAAAAGGCTCTCAAAAATACTTTTGAGTCCTATTCTTTTCACGTGCAGGTCACAGGGTACTTGAAAGTCAGCCGTCGTCCCTCTTGGCTTTCTCACTGCTTCTTCATTGCTTTGTGCAATCCTCTTCTTTAATCATTAATTCCCAAATTGGTTTTCCTTGCTGTGTGAATTTTAACCACATTGCAGTAGATGCGGTGGGGGTGGAGGGTATCTGTGGCAATTGCAGAATAAAACGTACCATCAAGTGGCAGCTGTTGGTGGTTGAGGCTAGTTGTTGAAAAGAAATGCCTGTGTTTAGAGCCATAGAAGTAGAGTTGGCGGTCAGGGCTAGTCATTCATTGCTAGACCGACAGCGCCTCTAGCGGCAGAGAGTGGGACGGCGGCGGCGGCGACCAGGGTAAGCTTCGAATTTTTAAAAAGGCACCTGCTGGGTGAGGCCTCGTTATGCAAAACGCAACGATCCACAGGTGCCCACTTTTAGGGGGATACAACTCGCGAAAATCTAGATCTATAGAACAGCTATAATATCCACACTTGAACTTCGAAATGCGTTGTCGCTTTGCACATGGTTGATTTAAGCGATTATTTATGGTCGAGAAACTGACGGAGGGGCGGGAGGCGGAAAAATTCTGCTCAAGTTTGGCCGCCACTGGCAACTGGGGAGCGATCCGGAATTAACAAAAGAGGGAAAGAAAAATAAAGAGGTAGGCGAAAGTCATTTTTAAAAAATGGAGCCCGCTGTGGAGCGCACACCTGAGGAGAAGCGGATGGCTCACCTGCGTGGTTACTGTGCGTCTCCCAGGTCTCTCCCTTGGGGAGGAGGGGTGGAAAGGGGGCCCTCGGGGAGGGCTGACCCATAGTTTGGGGTGGGGGACATTCGCCAAAGGACAGCGTAAGATGCTCGACGCACATCATCCCTGGCGACACGTGTAACCGTCAAGACACAGCGAGACAGCCTGGCAAACGACACCCGAAAGGGGAGGAGACAGGGGCGCAGCCAAGTGTTCCCTCCTTCCCCCGGGAATTGGCACCTGGAGGCAGGGGGTGGGGTGGGGGGGGTTCCTCTCCTCGCCGGGAGCCGGAGTCCGGGGGCTCCGCAGACGCACCCCGGTGCGCACCTCGCGGGGCAGCCCCGGCACTCGGCGTCCCCCCAGGGCTGCGTGAGATGCCAGCGGGTGACCCCGGGCGGCAGGCGGGAGCGGAGAGCGGGGGACCGGCAGGGAGCGTTCCAGGGCTCGGCGACTTACCTCGGGCCGCGCGAGACGCCAGCAGGACCCCGGCCAGGGCGAGCAGGAGGGCGCGGGCGGGGGGCGCGGGCGGCGGGCGCGCTGCCATGGTCGCCGGCCTTCGGTGCTGCAGCTCTCGGGGCCCGGCCGCGAGCGCGCACCATCCCACGCGGGCGCCAAGCGGGGGGCCGGACGTCGCGCCCCGAGGGATTTCCTGCCGCGCGGAGTCCGCTCCGACACCCTCGCGCGGCGCCCGCGCAGCCGACGAGCGAGTCTAGGCTTTCATTTTTTGAAAAAAGTTCCCCCCCCCGCCCCCCGCGTGTGCGCGCGCGCGCTGTGCTGGCACCAGCCGGCCTTGACCGTTGCAGTCAAGGCGCAAGCTGTCCGAGTTGGCCCGGGGACGAGGAGGCTCGTTAGTGAGGGAGGGCAGGCCTGTGAAATGGAGCCACGGCCAACAGTCACCGTCTCATTACCACGGAACAAATTAGGGTCTCCCCCGCACCCCGCCCGCCAGCGGCGTCCCGCGGGTCCTAGAGACCGCTTGGGGTCCCCGCCAGGGTCCCGCCCAGAGCCCGCGCTCGCCCACCCCCCGGGACCGCTCGGTGCAGGGCGCCTTCCGGGCCGCGCGCCCCGGCGGCACAGACGTGGCTCGGTGGCGGCGCGGGCGCCCGGAGCGCACACATCCCCGCCCCGAGATGATGTGGCCGCGGGGCCCCGAGCGCCCGGCTGCCAAGAGCACGCGCGGCTGCACGGTCCAGCTTTCCAGTCTGAGGCTGGAAATGATGACTCGGCTGCTCGCTCCCCGGCTCGCCGAGAACCCGCGGAACGCGGGGAACAGGTCTGAAAGGCGGCCCCCAGGCCGGCGGGCATCCCGGGCGGTCCCCTGAGCCCCCAAACGGACGTCTGGTGCCTGAGAAATAAACTTGGACTCAGGCAAGCAGCGTCTGGGCATTAAGCTTCTGATGCATTGCTTTTGGTTTTACGGTGGTACATTGACTCACGTTTCTTTTCCATGGCGCGGACCCAGAAAAGGATGTACGGCGATGTTTCCCAAACTTTCTTGATTATGAGAAGTAACTGGGTTGGTCCCTTAAAAATTACAGATCCCGGGCACAATCCCATGCCCTTGGAATGGGATTCTCCCGGGGAGTGTGGGGTGCTTAGGAAACACCAGCGGAGTGGAGGGAGGGCTTCCCTTCAAATCCTAGTTCTTGGTGGTCTCTGCCTCAGGCTTGACAACCTTGCTTAGTGTCAGTTTTTATAACAGGACTTGTTGGCGTCTGGGGCCACTGGAAGCCACAGACTAAAGGAGCTGGATGTATCAAGCATGGTGGCCCCCACCTTGCAGGGGCTTAGGGTGACTCCCTACTCCGGCGACTTCGTAGAACCACGAAGGTTAACAAGGTGATGCCACCCCCACTCAGATGCTTTAACTCAGAGTCTCCTAAGAGGGGCAGAGCCTGAAGAGTTCTCAAAGCCCCAGGTGATCGCACTGTGGAGCCGGGAAGGAGAAGCACCTGTAGGAATGTCCTGTGACCTCCCACCCATTCCCCAGCTGGTCCCATTCTAATAGGCCGGTAGCCAATGTATGAGGAAATTCCTTCCGTCATCATCTCATCCTCCTGAAGGATAGCTTTTCTCACGATTTCCCTCCCATCCCCTGATGTTTGTAGTGCTCGGAAAAACTCAGGTCAGCCCTCTCAAGAAAGTACAGGCCTTTTTTTAAAAAAAAGCAAAAGCCAGAGGCACTGGCCCAAGGGTCCCCTTCTCAGCACAGGGACATGTCAACACTCCATCTGGAGGCAAGGCCTGGGGCCCAGCCCCTGTTTAAATCCAGCCCTACTACTTCCGGGCTCTGTGCAGCCCTTTCTTTGTTCATTCATTCCTGCCCTCAGCAATTAGCAACACTGCTAGGAGGGGCTTGGGAAAGCAAACTCCTGAGAAAGGCCTCTCGCCTTCAAAGGCTTTTCCTTCTGGTAGGACAAATGGATAAGTCAGGACTATTGAACAGTGTGAGGTGGTTGCTTAGCCTATTTAATAATCATTCGATTGTTTGTTAACTGCCACATTATTTATTACATACTTCATAGAATCAGAGTATTGTGCTAAAGTGCTTCCCATATCTCATTTCATTTTAAATTCCCGAGTACACGGATGAGGAAACCGCGGCGTACAGAGGCTAAGCAGCTTTCTCGTGGCCACAGGGCTAAGGAGCAAGTCAGTCCCCGCTGGAGACCTGTTTGCAGACACAGCCTGTGTCTTTAACCCTGACTTCCAAGGATTGGCATCTGTCAAGTGCAAGTAAAATACAAAGCTCCCAGGTGGAAGTGGGCATTCAGTGAGCCAATGCAATGCTCTCCCAACCACCAGAGTCCAAGCCAATTAAAAATCGTTTCCTGTTAGCTCAGCGGGCCGACTTGCTTTAGGATGAGCCTTGCTGCTTGGCCTGGAACCATTCTGACGGGTTCAATTGTTTCCTTATAATGGACCTAAGATGTGCTGTGCCCTAGGGTGGGGCTTTATATGGTTTCTCTCCTAATAGTCCAGTCTTTTTGTTCTTTAAGTTTCAGCTGTTACTCTTGACTGTAGATGTCCTTTTTTTTTTTAACCTGGAAGTTGCAAAGCTCTCTCCAAAGGGCTAAGTGTGCCCAAAGACTGTCCTTGGTTTGTTTTTGACTGAATGAAACAAAACAGCCAATGCAGGGGGCGGGGAAGACAGGATAGAATATCCTAGCCCCCAGCGTTGGTTTCTCAAGCCTCTGATCCACTATCTCTGTGAAGCAAGGAGCCTGACTGACACTATCCAGAAAGACTCGGTGCCCGTCAGTGACAGCCAACCAGGCAGAGCATGTATCTTTCGTCCGGCAGATGGCCGGCCAGTCCTGGGATGGGAACTCAGCCTCGCTCACAGGAAATGGAAGCCGACGTGGCATTCAATACTGGATTGTTAGGTAATGGTATGGGGTCAGAGGCCAGGGTCTGCTCATTAGAATTTCAGATAGATGGCTTGTTGTCCCTTCCTTTCCAGAAGAATTGACCTTTGCGATACTGTTTCCTGTGTGCTATTTTGGTGTTACAGCCTGGGCACTCACAATGAACAGGGTACTTATTTCTTACCCAAGCTCTCATTTAGCTCAATCCACTTTGAGTACAAGCAGATGAAAAATGGAGACAGAGTTTCCTAAGCCAGGATTTTGCAGGCAGCCACTCCCTGTTTCTGCAGTGTGCAAAGGGTCAGCCTCTTGCAGCTTGACCTACTGATGAAGCTTCAGGCACAGGCTCACAAAACAGCTTTTATCTGTCCAAGCACAGTCCCCCAGCTTGCTGCAAAATAAACAAACACAATCGCCCCTGTCAGTAAGCTTCTTGGAAATCTTTCTAGTTCCATCTCTTGGGGAGATGGAGTCTCATGATCCGCTCAGCCTGTGATAACATGTAGCCCATTTTTCTTCTCACAGATCGTCTCACTTCAAGAACCCATGCCTTTACCTCTTCCTGAAGAGCCGCCTCTGGGCAGAGTGACCCCTCTAGGTCCTGAGACTTCCATTACTGCACACAATCAGGACTTAAGGACAATCAGGATGCTCAGAGCAAACTGTCTAGGGGTGCGGAGTTTCCCAAGGTTCTCTGAGTATGTTCACGGCACGCTTAGACAGCCGCGCAGTGATCTGACCTAAACTGCCACTTCCGGAAGCTGTAAGACATTTTTTTTCCAGCTGCCCCCAAACCTGCAGGCATTCGCAGTTGATCTGATCTTGATCACATTAAAGAGAAAATGTGATTAAAAGTCATGCCTACTCTTGGATGGAGAGACCCACCAGAGGAAGTGAACTCGTCCAGACTGGCCACTCACTTATCGGGTTTCTGCTCTGAAAAGATGCACAAGGTCACAAGAAGTCAGGCAAGCTGGGGCGGGTGGGGACTCTGGAGACAAACCGGGGCCACCATATCTGGTGTCCAGCAGGTTTTCCCCCAGGGAGTGAGACCAGCCCTGTTTTACAGTAACTCCAGTGAAGACCATTCCAAGACATGCATACACTTAGGAAACTCCTTTACCTCGTCTCTCTTGTGGCAAATTAGGCCATTTGCCTCTTATTCTGTGCTCTTGAAATTGGAAAATAATGGACACTGGCCTCTCTTCATGTATTTGAGTACAGTTTCCCATTTCTCTTTACTATTTTAGGCAAATCAACCCCAATTTCTTTAACGTGCCTCTTGGGTCCTATTCTCGCTCTCTTTAATCATGGTTTTTGCTCTCCCTTGGATCCTCTCCAGTTTCCTGAATTCTCTTAAACCGTGGGAGCCAAACGTGGCCATGGAACTCCAGGAAGGGTCTGCCCGAGGCCACGGGAAGCAGAGGGCGGCCTGGTTTATCGTAGGTGGGTCCCTCTGCAGTTGAGACTTAACTCCTCTTTGGGGACGAAGGAGCGATTCTGGGTGGTTCTGGGGAGGCAGGCTGATCTGACAGGGGTGCGTGGCCCTCTGTCCCATCGCTCCCTGCCCTCGCTTGTGCCACATGCAGCCCTTTTTCTTCACTGTCGTTATTGCAGCCCACTTCCTGGCTCTCAGTCGACCATGCTGATTGGACATCTCTGGGTTCTGCATCCTGGTGGGCACTTTTCTGCAGAGCTCCTTTCTCCCATTAACTCCTTAATGGGCCCAGGTAGAAAAGCCAACTTAAAATTTCTGGAGCCTGGGACCCATTGTTCCTCCTGGTGCACTAAGCTCTGAACTGGGGTCTGATGTAGCTTTAACGTTTTTGGAGTTACCAAGCATTTGACATTTTTCAGCAGCATCGCATCCTGACCCAGCAGCAGCCCTACTGCCTTAAACCTACCACACCTGTCAATGGGGAAGGTCCACCCCCTTGGGCATAAACACTGCAGCATCCCCTCCCCCCTGATATTCTGAAGCAGTCCTCAGCAGTGATGGTTCAGCTTTCTTTGTCCTAGGCTGGGCTGAAAAGTAAAGAAGTTGACCAAGCATCCCCAGCACTCCTTCTGCATCCTGTGCTGGAGGTCAGGGACATAGACACCAGCTCCTGTGCTCATGAGCCTCTAGAGCCATGAGAAAGAGAATACCTGAAACAACCCTAAACCCTGGCCCATGTGCATCCCCTCTGCCCCGGGCCTCCAGGAGCTCAGCAGTCCTCATGGACTCCTGTTCACTTGAAGGAGGAAATGGAGGCTCTGCAAAGTGACTTGTCCATGAAACGTTTGAAAGTGGTACAGCTGGGACTGGAAGCTGGTCCCTCTCAACCCAAGGGTCCTCCATCTCATTTCCTCCCTGTTGATGCTGGCCCAAAACCTGAGTCATGCCTGACCTTTTCCTGTCTGTCTCCCTCAGCCATGCCCTTCGAATTAGTCATCAAGTCCTGTCCATTCCACCTCTGAAATTCCTCCCAAGTCTGGCCACTCCTCCCCCTGCCCCACCCCCGGCCCAGGGCACCCTGGTGTCTCCCCTGATGACAGTCACAGGCTCTTGGGGCTTGTTCTACTGTCACTCCAGCTACTGCTGCTGCAAGGGCACTTTTAAAATGAAAATCAGATAAAACTTCTCTGAATCCTCATTGTCTTCAGCAAGATGCAGAATGCATCATGGGA